GTTAGGGGTGTGTGTGTGTGTGTGTGTGTGTGTGTGTGTGTAACCATGACATTTACTTGAACTTTAGTACAATATTTCCAACATGCTTTGTTATGTTTGTTATGTTTGTATTTTTCCTATTTTTTTTTCCTCTTTTATTATCACAGCCTTTTTACTGATCAAATAACTTTCTGGTCTCTGATTTTTTAATTCCAGCATTGTGCTAAAACTCAACTCTAATCACTGGCTGCTCTGATCTCCTCTACCTGTTTTCTGAGTGACTGGAAAAGGCTGCATCTGATTTACCACAGGTGAACAGAGAAGCCATTCAACTGAATCCTGGAGTTATTTAAAGCATGCTGATCTGCCAGCCCAATCCACTGAGGCGGGTCCACGCTGTAATGTATCCGCACAATGCGGTGCTCAGCAGATGTGGTTGGTTGGTAAACTTTAAAGTGCAATAATGAGGGAGGCACAGAATGACAGTTTTATTAAGATTCTATCTTGTCTGTTTGACAGAGTTGGAATGAAGAAGCCTCTTAGATGAGAGGTGACATATCTGCAGGAATTTCAACCTCAAGTGCAGTTGCCTTTGTATATCACTTTGAAATTGTATAATACTAAAAATACAGAAACATTACCTCGATTTATCAAAGGGAAAATAAGGAACTCAAATGAGCAGATCCTTCCTCCTTTGTATGAGTGAGTCCATTATTCTGGAATAAGCCCATTAAAAACAAAATAATGCCAGCACCACAATTCCAGATACCTTTTAAGTGGTTTGGCAAGAATGTTTAATTCACTGTGTTTAATGGTGCACTCTAATCAGCTTAGAGGATTGGTGCTCTTTACTGGAAAGGTTAATGTGCATATCTTCCACAAGGGGGCCTTTCAATCTGAGCTTGTGTAGTGTTACACTGTACTGTACATTGAATATGGCCCATCTTTATAAGTGTATGTTCTCTGGCTGAACACACACACAGTCACACAGCCTCTCCTCAGGTAGCTATGAATTGCTCTCTCTCTCCCACACACACACACACACACACACACACACAGTATACCCTCCTAAAATGCAGCACTGTGTTTAACTATTTCCAGCCCTCACAGAGACCTTTCTGTGTAATAGATTCATATTCATGGACACACATCGTGAATAACTCTGACCACAGGACAAACATGCCATGGAGAGTTTGGGTTTCTTTTTATCTATTTAAGAGTTATCACCACCGTATGTACAGCATAATAACAGTGGCCCGTTCAGAACAGTGTTCTTTTGTGCACCCATGCAGGTGGCACTCTCCTTTGGCCCAGTGACCTGCTTCCTGTCTTCCTAAACTGCCCTGATCATGGCCTAAAATATTTTCCCCTCAGCTGGAGCTAGCTGGGCTGGGTTACAGATACGGGACCTGCAGAGATCTATTAAGGTGACTTTTCTATTGGCAGCAAACCTTTAAAGCAATAGGGGTGAAAAGAAGTAAAGAAGAGAGAAAGATAAATTGTATGTTCACATTAAAGGTACCCAGGGGAGCTTTTACCACTAGTGATGCTATGGAGCAATGTTTTTATGAGCGTGTCACCACGGGTATTAGAGACATGCCAAGAAAGAAACTGTAGCAATATGCCAACAAAGGCAGTTAAGTGTAAAACTGCTAACACAAATAATATGATCATTAACAGTCCAGATTTTAATTGTTTGAGACTGTTCCCCCCAAATAACAGATTAATCTTTCAATCAAAACCATATTTATGTTTATGCTCAATTGCTTTCTAGAGTCTGCAGGTACCACAGCCCTTTTAATTTGGAAAAAAAGGATTAAATTGTGTGATGTAAGGTGGCTTGAATGGGTCAACAAAACATTTGACTGTGACACAAGAGACAATTTACCATTTCCCTCCTCCATCACAATCTAGGAAGATGACAATGTTTACCTCATGCTCAAAGTTTTCTTCATAATATACTCATTCACCATTTCAAGCTACACATTGTGAACAATTGGGGCAGCATGGTGGTGCGATGGTTAGCACTGTCACCAGTTGGAATAGTTCGTCCGGGGTCTTTCTGTGTGACCCTCAAAGGTTAAACACCGTAGATAATGGACAGATGATTAATGGATGGCTTGTCTTAACTTTTCTGCTGAAAACCTAGTATCATACACCAAAATTACTACTTGACCTGGACAAGATACCTGCATGGATACTGTTCCTGTGTACTAGTTAAATGTTCTAAGACTTTTCCCAAATTCCAATTCTTATCCAAAGCATGATAGCCATTGTCAACTCTAAGCTTTAATTCATTCTAGAAAAAAATTGAGAATTTTCAGTCAAATTTTAGTTATCTGACTGGTTTGCCTTCTACCTTTACATACAGATCTCCTCATATACTCTTACGACCTGTGAAGTACCTCAAGGCTCCACTCTAGGGCCCATCTTATTCACATTATGCATAACTCCTTTAGGGTCTATCTTCCAAATATCTCATACCATTGCTATATAGATGCCACTCAAAATATACCTCCCTTGCACTCTTGCATATGTTGCAAGAGTTATGCTAATAATAAATTAGTTAAAATGCATTATCTGTGGCGTGTTTCTTGTTGTCTATCTTTCAAATATGCAGAGAAGAAACTCACCAAGTATGAGTAGATTTAATATCACCACAGCCTGATAATAAATCACTCATACTTGTGTCCCAGTTTGTCATTTGCCCTCCCCAATCACTATGTATTTGATCATTAAATGAGACCATCACTCCACTTACACATGTTACTTGCTTAAGAAGTCTTACAGCAGTGCAGCAGTATAGTCTGGAGAACATGTGTAGAAATGTCAGCAGACTCTAGTCTTTAATCTCAATTGATGTCAAATATCATCTGGACTATAAATTCAGTCATGGTCAACATGAGGCAGTTAAGGCAATGGGTGTCATTACCCATCAGGCCTGTGTTGACGGTAACACATTTTAATAAGCGACTGATCAGTGATGTCAATGATGCCTCCTTTTTTTACCGCTACACAGCAGATGCATGAAATGTGTTCCTGATGTTCTCCAGTTGATTTTGAATAACATATGAAATACATTATTCACCTGCTGTGATGTGACTACTCCAGTGGAGTCCATAAGTCTGAGAAAGTGGTCACAGACATTTGTTGCTGTGTATATTTACAGAGAAGTCCAGTGATTCTGTGTGTGCACTAGGATTTTATGCAAATTCATCTGTAGCTAAAAATTGTTTAGCTCCAATAAACAGTTCTCTTCATTTTTTGCTCGCAGTTATTTTCATTTTAAGATCCCACATCCAGAATAAGCTGCTCATTCAGAATGTTCCCCCTATCTGTGGCATCAGAAAACACCTCGGCCAACTGCAGAGTCCCAGTCTCCTTTTAGCCCCCTGGATCCTGCTCAGTGTGGGGGAGTCTGTAAACACATCTGCCATCACCTCTCTCCCTCCTCTCACTTTCAGTGTCCACCATCATTTACATCTCCTTTTTTCACCTTTTTCCTCATCCTTACTTTAGCCATTAGAAAGTATTTGCCAAAACAGCAGTATTTTCTGTCTTAATTAACTTTACTTACCGCTGAAGCGATCAAGCTCCTCCTACCTTAATTTCAGCCCATACATCACAAACTGAGGTTACCTCCCACATCTTGTTTCTGTTGCTCTGTTCTTCTCTTCTGCCTTGTGTCCTCATGTCTTACACCTTTACCTCCATTAAATTATTCACTTTCCTAATCTTAGCACCTCTCTGCATATTCAGCAATTTTCCATCTGTCCATCTCCCCCAATTTAATATCTTTTCCCAGATATCTCACAGTAGGGAGCCTCCCCTCATCCTGTTCCCGTATGACTTTCAACTTCCACTTTCTAATTTCAACTGATACATTCACCACTCTGTGTTTGACTGTCCCCCTCCCCAACTTCTCTCCTCAACCCCCTCCTCTCCTCCAGTCCTCCCCTTCTTATCTTCCCACAATCTTGCACACTTCTGTCCTATTTCTCTTAATTTTTGAAAATCCATGTCTAATTTTAACTCTAAGTTAGTTATGAAGGAAACAAGACTGATAAAGTCTTCCGGGTGAGAGTTGAAGCATCCACCCCACCCTTTTATTCAATCTAATTCAAGTCATACCAAGAAAAACGATTTTAAAAGGTTCTCTCACTGAAGGAGGAAGTGTTCTCTGATATTTGGAGCCTACTGTATGTGTAGATACAAATCTTAGTATCAGGGTTACAACAGTGTTGTCATGCACATGGGTGCAATGAGTGCTGGAATAAATACTGGATAATGGCATAAGTAACTTTATATGTATGCTGGGTTATGTATAGTTTATGCATGTGAATAGCTTATATACATACATCTTTGTCAAATGTACACAATCTGCTTGGGTTTACATTTTACCATAATGGATTTCACAATAAATTCAAACTGCTGTACATTCAATTTGTAAGTACAGTCAGGTAAGTGCACATATCATCAGCAATGCAACAATTTCATTGAAGATTTCCATGCACCTCTATGAAATACTTATTATTACGAGATTCATTTTTTGATAAGAAAAGTTGTAAAGATGAAGACAAAGGCAAGGTGCCTCTACATGGAAATATGTATTTACATATGAAAGATTTCACAATTTTTCAATTTGTATTGCCTGAAATAAAAAAAAAAACAACATTCTCAGCAATAGAAAGTGACTTCCTGACAGCCGGAATTACATTTATTTACCATCCTTATCCCTCTCCCTCCATCTTTCTTTGTATTCTTCAATTCAAAATATTAGACCCATTTTGAATTTGAAAATTAAAAATGCTAATTCACCACAAGTAAAACTATAACATGACAGTGTGAAGATAAAATGAAAGAAACAAAGTCGAGACACAAATGTCAATGGCAGTGGCAAATCAGTTAGGCCAAAAGTGTATAAATTCAATAAACTCAGAATGTTCTTCCTCATTGTCATGTCTCTCTGTGTTCCCTATCCATTACCCACACGCAATCCTTCCCTCTTCCCTCCCTCCTCTCCTAACTCTCTCCCCCCAAACCCCCTCTTACCCTCTCTTCTCCAGAGTCCTGCCATCTTTCAGCATTCCTCAGGTTCGCCACACAGAGCCCCATTGTGTCAGTGGGTTAGGGAGGGAGTGCACAGTCCAACCTCTCGCCATGTGCTGCCGCTGGACGCACCTTAGGAGACCACAAACTACTGTACAGCCTTTTCACACACAAATACGCACACACAAATACGCACACACAAATATGCACACACACACACACGCACACACATACCTTGCCTCCTCCTGTCTCCATTTCCTCCCTCGTTCCATCACTCTCCTCCAACTACCATCTAAAACCAATGTTAACAGCCAAACAGTCGTGCTCAAAAAGACTATTGATTAGACGCTGAGGGTCCAAAGCAAGAGAGCAAGCAGACCCCTAGGAGGAGGGGAGGAATGGAGGGAACGAGGCATTGAGGGGAGGTATGTTTGAGGGGCCGTGCTCTCTTGTATAAAATTCAGAAGGTGCCAGGGGGTAGACCACCACCCTGTCCTGTGTCCATGCCACTCAGTCTGGGCCGGGGGTCTTTAAACAGCACAGAAGCAAAGATAGATAAGATGACTAAAGTCTGTATTGTAGAGAGAAACAATGAAAAGTGGTTTTGCCATAATTTTATTGATTACTGGTCACACACCTATACTCCAGCTTTAACTGGTTTTTGACCACTTTGGGGCAGCAGAAACAAGCTGTGAAAACAGTACTGACACATTAACGCTTTGTTAACTCAATAAGGTGAATTCAATTCAATCAATTCAAACAGCTGCTTATTTACAAATCCAGAAGTCTTGATTAATTTAACTCAAATACTGCTTTTGGCTCAGTTTTGGTCTCCACCAGCCTCCACCAGTGGAAGAGGGAGAGCATTTTGTTCACTATTTAACTAGTTAGTAAGCATATTTGAATTTGTTTAGCATCATCATCTCATTATGAATATTGACATAATGTTAGCTAACTTAATAGACTGCATCCAAAGGCATCACCCATTCAGTCACAGAGGAGGGGGAGTTTAAGGGGGACTGGGAGATGGAGCAAGCGTTGTTTCTGGTCCTAGTGGGTCCTAGTGCTTGTAGTTTCTGCTTTTTTTATATAACATTAGTTTTCAGTATTAAAAGGCATTTCCCTCTGTAACCACCTTTTAATTACGCCCCTGCTTGAGGGAAATAATTGCAAAGGGCAATGGAATAAAAAAGTTGCATTGCATTCAGAAACTCAAAATAAAGAGACGTTTTGTTCAATCGTTACTTTCTGCTTTTCTAATCTTCGCAGGACATTCGGCATATTCAAACCCCTTTATGTGGACTACATGGGAACGTCTGCAAACTTTTGTGGTGCAAGAACTGACCCATTTCAACAGCCTCAAGGTTAATGAGTTCAATTGGACCCATTTGAGGGATTATCACGTGTGACTCAGAAACATAATTCTGTAAGACTCTGTGGGTCCAGGAGCACCAGCAGTGTGAACAACAAGCTTGTTTTCTCAGAAAGAAAAAATAAACCTACGTGTTATATACCCATAGCCTCTTGATTCTGTGCAGATTAGAAGAAAACTGTTGAGTCAGGTCTATTTCAGTCTTTAATGCAACAAAAACGGGTTATATATAACCTACAATATATCTTCGCACACATGAATGCACACTTTGCGCACTTGGTCCGAGTCTGAAAGTTCAGCATTCCTAAGAGGCTTAGATGCTGACTGAAAAGAATGAGCAAACACACAGAGGGATCTCCTCACGAGATAGAGAGCCATGTGGCCTGCTTTCAGACAGATTACAGTCGGCCAGAGCAACTCAGCGTGACCTGAGGACTGGAAGCAGAGAGCAGAGAGTGAAGTACTCGAGTATCACTTTTCAAAACAGGCAGAGTAGCATGTGCTGTTACAATATGTTGTTCTAATACTTGACTTCTGCTTTACTTCTTCTATGTGGCCATTTGAGTCAATTTATATTCATTTACACCTTTATGAAAAATAAGACTAGAAAATTTGGGTAGAGGTTCGGTGGGATTATCAATGACTCTGATCAAGCAAACACATCTAAAAAAAAAAATCCTCTTCTGAAGCCCAAGTTTCGTAAAACAATCCTGCTCGCCATCCCTACTTCTATTAGGTAGCAAAATAAATCATACATCAAAGGTTTAGCATCAAGAGGTGCAGTTCAACATGTGCATATATGTGGATATATATGTTGTATTTTGCACTGATATTACATTATTGTCTGTGTCAGTGCAGGAAGTTAGTGACTTTATCGCTCATCTGTTGGGGGCTGATTGATGACTGCTGGTCGGCTGTCACTGAAAGCAATTAGTAACCATGGACGACCAGATACAACAAGTGAACTTGAATCCACTGATGTTCCAGTGTGCATGTGACATTAAAAGACATGGGGAACCTCTCTAGGAAAACGTAAAACGTGGTTGAAGACCAGCACAAACTGATACTGACTTCACAGCTGGAAAATCTGAGTGTCTTAATTTCCAGGTATTAATAAAATCTGACATCTATATATAAACATAATATTTGCCTCATAAATCCAATCAAAGCCATTAAATCAGAGGAAGAATTCAAATATAAGTTTAAAATCTTTTTTTTTCTATGTACCAGTGAAGCTCTTATGGTGTATAGAGCCCAATATTCATCAGTAGGGTTGACAACATGATGTCAGCACTTCTCTGCAGAAACAAAAAGTGTATAAGAGAAGTGCACGGCTTGACTCATGTAACAAGTCTCCTTGTCCTAAAGGGCACAGAGCCGAGGAATAACCAAGGGGTCTCATCCGGGTGTGAGGAATGTACGTATTTGGGAAGGGTCTAGTGTCTTGTATGTGTGAGTGTGTGGATCTGTGTACCAATGCCTTCCTGTATGACTAAGCATATGTTTGTGTGTGTGTGTGTGTGTG